CCGGCTGATACAGCCTATACATGTTTCATTATATTAGCGTAATGCGAGTTTGCGAGTATCTGGGCCAATAAGCGCATATATTTTGAAATACGGTTTTTGGCGGGACATTGCTTTTAAATAAAGGACTTCGCAAAAGGTGACATTCTTCTCTCTAAATTCTTTTGTTCCTGCAAAATTTTCGCCTGTTTTTGAGACCTGCAAAAAATATTACTGCAGAGCCTCGTTTAGTACGTAATATAGAAACTTTCTACCTCCTCTGCATGTATTTGAAATGCTATACGTAAGATCTTTGCACCTCTCAGGACGAGAATTTTTAGAGGTAGTTCATTCTACTCGTTGTACATGACGGGGAACGACTACGTTGACACGGTTGGTTCCTACGACTTTTTTTTATCCCAAGTGCATAAAATCATTCAGGAACCGCTGAAGGCCAATATGTTTACTCTGGCAGTAGGGGAAGAGGCATATTCATTTGTAGGGACTATAGGAACAAGGTGCTGCTGTTTGAAACATTACAGCACTTCTCATTATGTAAGTCATTTACAGTTTCGGATCTCGATCGACGACACCTTTCATGAACAACCTTGCTCGTAATATGATAAGGAACTATCAGACTGTGAAAGGATTCGCCAACAGCCTGCACCCATTCATAGAGATAACAAACAACACGGTATGCTGGAGTAGCTTTACCCGCATCAACAAGCGTTAGTCGTTGAAAAACCGTTGCCTTCTCTTACTTTGCAATAATGCAAAACAGATCGTAAGTGCAAGCTGTATAAGGACCAAAAAGTGATTCTGATTGCGCTAAATTGATATTCGACCCTGGATGCTGGTACACTACTTTCGTTTAATCCCATATGGCGGCATAAATACACCTCAACTAGAAGCGAAGCGTTGGACGCTGGCTCGGCATAAACGGCTACTCTTCAAATACTTGCGCACAGATATCAAAACGAACCCTGGACGCAGAGCTCCTCTGCTCTGCATGCTCTGCGTCCAGGGTTCGTTTTAATATTTTTGCTGACGAAAAAGCTGTCTTGAAGCTCTTGCGCTATAGCCATTTTTGTGTGTGCTCGGACAAGTACGTTCCCCTCTCATCGTCGTTGGAGCCGTATAATGCTACATTATGAATATGAGCATGGTTGTTTGTAATTATCCCTTATTTTGTTCCTTATAGTAAATATCCGTTTTGCAAACTCGTTTTTTTCCTTCCGGCAAACGCCCTAGTGTTCTTGTCTTCCTCAAAAGAAAAACCAAGTATAAGGTGTTTGGTAAATTCGAACTTATACTTTTGAGACTATTCATTGTCTGCTTCTATCACGCACACACATTATGTGAACAAGTATTTTTATTGCAAAATCAAGGGGTATCGTCCTTTACTTGGAGCGGCTCGGCAAATCCTCCAAAAAAAAATTTTTTTTGCTTTTTCTGAAAATACACCCTAGAGAAACTCCGGACCGCGCCGGTCGTCGCTATTGCAGCCGAAGCGCAGTGGGTTAAGCCATTGTCACCCTGGTGCCCGTGTGGAGAAAGAACTACTTGATTAATTTATTTTGTGTTTTTTCATACCTTATTCGTAAGTTTTGTGCTGTATACTGGTTTCCAGGTACAAGTTATTGGATAATAATTGCTCCTAGACCTGAAACATCGTCTTTTCAAGCTATAACTATTGCCTACATTCAGCCACAGTCTACAAAGCGGACTGTTCATTGTGTGTTTCTTTTAGTTTTTATCAAGCTTACGTTTGATTTGTGGGTGTTGCGGTTTCAAAAGCTGTAAGAGATAACGAAGAGCATTTGTTCAAATTCGTATTGATGCGTCAATGTAAGCATGGAAAAACCGCACACCCACAACAAATATAACTTGAGCTGAACGCAAAAAGTAGAAAGGAACATTACAAGTAGATAACAGTAGATAAGGTAGATAGTAGATAAGGTTTCATATTTTTTGTGAGTGATGTGGTTTTTCTACACTTGCGTCTATGCATCATCATGGATTTGCGCAAATGCGCTTCAACAACGCATGCAACTTTCCAAACCGCATACAAAAAGTACAAAACGTGCTGCACAGAACTTGATAAAAAAAGAAGAAAGCATGAACACCTCACTTTGTAAACACCAGCTGACTGTAGGCGATGCTCGCCGCATCTGTCCTCAACGGCGATGTTTCAAATCTTGAAACACCATTATCCAGAAACTTGTATCTCGGAATGTCTATAAAAGACTAATTAAGATACAAATTCACAAAATACAGGAAAAGTAGATTGATCAATGAGTTTTAATACCGCGAGCGCCACGGTAATGGCTTGACCCACTGCGCTTCGGCTGCAATAGCGGCAA